AGTTTACAGCCAGTCGGCTTCAAGCAGACCTGGGAATGTATCACAGGAGGCCTTAAACCAGGAAATGCCTGAGGAAAGCTCAGAGGAGGATTCCCTCAGGAGGTAAGATATATGCTTGGTCTTCCTCCTCTATTTTTTCTTAAACCTTTCCCATCTAGTCTGAGTTTTTCGGTATTTTCAGAGTTGAAAACCTTTTCTCATGTGGTCACGTGCTATTTATGTAGGTGAAAATAGAGACGTTGCACTGACGTCTCTTATAGCTGCCATTGTCATGCTGCAGATAGGTTCTGAGGATGTCTGTAAGGACAAACACCAGACCTCTCAATGAGAAAGGAGAATGGTAGTACAGATAGGCAAAAGTACAGGCGGTGGCAGCAGATCTCTGGGGTGAAGTGTTTTCCTGGTGTTTCCCGTACACGGCAAAAGGGTGGGAACACAGGATGTGCTTCACTGCCCTTTGTGCCCCATACTACGCATGTGCTGCACATGGAGAATCTGCCCAGGGTAGGCATGGAATATTGGGCATGAGTAATGAGAATTGCTTTCTTGAGTGCTGTGTCTTGTTGAGGCTGTAGTTAAGTTGGAGGGGTTAACAGTCATTTCCTTGGTGTTGCCATAGAGGGCAAAAGAAGTCAAAGCTCCATGTCAGTGGTTTGGGCATATACCTTAGTTGCGAGTGTTTGGTCAAACCCATGCAGTTTGCTTGCCTTTGATAAAGAGGTAAGTTTTGAAAGTGGCTCCCATTGACCCGAATCTAGGGTGAGTTGGTTGGGGGCATGCTGATCACTGAAAATTTTAGACTCTGCTGTATTCTTTCTTAAGAAGGTGATTCTTTTTTGGAAGGTTTTTTTTTTTTTTAATACTTCAGATGTGTTACAGGAAACAGAACGAGCCAAATCACATTTGCACCAGGAAGGACCTGTGCTTTGTGTGAAAGTGTCTCCACTGGCTTGTATGGATGATTCAGCTACATTGGTGCTTTGGATAGGGTTTCCCTACTGGGTTTCAGTTTGACAACCTTTCTGTCAAGTGGTTTGTGTGCTTGTCAGAGGAAAGGTCCAGCCCTGCTGTTTCTCGGAAATGGATGTTTTGTGCTGTAGGAAAGCAAAGTTTCCAGGTTGGATGCAGATGTAACTGACTGAGGAGGCTTTGTACACAGGAGTGCCTGAGGAAAGGGAATTCTTTCCTTCTTCCTGCAGATAAGCTGATTATACTCAGGCTGGAACAGTGGCTGCCTTTCTTGTTGCTGTAGTTGCACAGCAAATAAGTGGTAGTGGTCATGAAATTATTCATCTGCTTCTAAATCCTTGCCCCAGTTTTTTTTATAGCCTGCCATAATGAGAGTCTAAAGCTGATTACATGGTAACTACTTCTTTCTTGGGCCTGGACTTACCTGCTGTTAATTTAAATCAGATATCCTCTAGTCCTCTATTAAAGGGCAGAGAGGTGAGAAGGAGCTGACAAATTTAGCTTTAAAATGGCACTTGACTAACTCTTGCATTATCTTTCTTTTGAAATAGCTGTACATGCTCATAGTGTCTCCACTGTGTTGCTTGTTTTCTGGGCTGAGTCACTGTAGTGTCAGAAATAATGGGGGCAAATAACCTTTTTCTTGATCAGGCGGTTGGCACACATTTGGACAACGAGGTGTGGTGGGATCTGTAGATGTGATCTTTTCTGTGGGAGCTGTATAACTTAAAAATGCCCTGAGGCATATAACTCAGTCCGCCCCAGCATACAGGAGCTGGATGGGTTGCTGCCTAACAGCTGGAGTCCAGCGACTAAATCTCTGGGTCACTTTGCCTGTTGCCCATGGTGGTTGCTGCTGCCTGCTCAGTGGCTGTAGCATCTGTGCAGGGTTAGTTGCCTGCCTGGTTGCCTGTGCAAACAGGTGCTTTTTGCTGAGACATTAATTTGGAGTGTGTAGTTTGATGTGTGAGCTTAATTCCAGAGGAATTCCTTTAAGATGAAACCTTTAGTGAAACCCTTTTGGCAGAGGTTCCTGAGAAGCTCATAGGGGCTCTTGTTTTCCCAGTTTCCTGCTTCTGTTATCAGGCCTTTCTCAAGAACAGGCATGGCAGGGACTTCTGCATCCCTTCTAACTGAAGTTAACATAACTGTAGAGTAGTGAGGTAAGGAAGCTGAGAGCAGTGAGCAGTCTGGTATTAAATACTTATGGCAATTTCCTTGAAGTAAAACTTGGTTTCCTTTCCTGTTAAACACGTTGGGTGGACTCGTGGGGAGCTTTATGAAATCCTTCTCCTTAAAAGGAACCCTGTATGTGGGATAGCTATATTCTGCAGGTGTAATATTTCCCCTTCTCAAACTGCTGTTATATTTTTCCTTATAGAGTAATAACAAGCCAGCAAGCACCCACCTACCTGATTTTTGCATAGAATGAACATCCTCAGGTCCAGCCTTTTTGTCTCCCAGACCTAGGGTGTGCTCCCACAATTGGAAGTGCTGGAACCACTCCTGCACAGCAGAGTCCAAAATGTCTGTTAACTTTTTCAGCTGCAGAAGTGTGCAAAGATGGTGATTAATGTTCATGAGATGTAAGCTGTGTAATGCTAAAAGTGCTGGGGAAATAGAGGAGGGAAGGTAAGCCTTCAAGCCTGAGGGTGCAAGTGATAACTGCATACACGCTTTCAGCTGATGTAATTTTGTGCCTATGGACCTCAGGTTAGTTGTTAGCATTGGGGGACATGCATGTATTTGCTTGTAACCTGTTTTATATTCTGTTCTTCTCTGTTTCTCCATTAGATGTCCTCATTGGGCAATTGAGCTCTGTATTCAAAGGCCAGCTGAAAAACTTAAGATAAAAATTGCGTCTGGAAACTGCGTGTGTATGTTCTCATTCCCTGTTCATGGGCAGGATCCATTCCTTGACCTGGCTTGCCTGGCTGAGAAGTAGCTTGCTGGGAAGATACTGCCATAGAGGGTCAATTAAGTTAATAGGTAGTTTAATGAAGGCTGTTCCTCTTTGAATTCTGTTGATGCAGCTATGCCAGCTGGGTAAGGAGAGAATTCTGCTCTTTCTGATGGTGCTGGGCTAATTATCTTGGGCTAATCATGAAGGGATTAATAAGCATGTAATGAAGCTATTCCTGACTAACAGCTCTGGCACCTCTATTAGGAGGAACATGTCACTGAGAACCTTGGTAATACAGCAGTCCTGTCACATTCAGCTTGGCCTGAAAGCAACATGGGTGTTGAGCTGTGTGCTTCTTGAAGCTGTGTCAGTGAGGTATGAAACTGGGGAAGGTTTATGGTCTACCTTAAGCAGAAGTTGGTGAGACTGAGCTTCAGCTTTTCTGAGGTTCTCCAGGCTGATCACATTAATTCAAATGTAGGGTTTTTTCCCCTGTGGATCTATCTTTGCCTCACTTCTAACATCAAAGTGAAAAGAGCCTCAGAAATCCCTGAAGTTGTCATGTGAAATGTGCTGCATAAAATTGGTGATAGAAACTATTGGCAAGATCTGGATGAAGGAAAGATAATTGAGCAACAGATGATAGCTAGTTTAATTTTTCTATAACTTCCTGTTAATTAAAAAATGGGTTGAGGAAGCATTGTGTTAATACTGTAGTCTTAGTGAGGGAAAAGATCCTGTAAGTACTTTAAGCCATTGTTGCTGTGTGGGCCAGTTCAGGTTGGTAATGAAAAGTTGAACAGGGAATGAAAGAGGATTCTTCTAGTCAACTGCTTGTTTGAGAGGAGCTAGTGCCACCTCCTTAAGAAAATGATATAAAAAATGCTAGCAGTGGTCTCCAGTGAAATATATTTCAGCTCATCAATTAATGAGAGGTACAGTGCAATGCTGTCTAATAAAACTGATCCAGATCTTCAAATGCCACCTCTTTGGCTATTTTAATATGACACGAGTGATATCTACAGAGCTAGTGTGTTATTTCACAAAAAAAGAAAATCCTCTGGTTTTAATCTAGTAGTGTTTCTTGCTTCTGGCATAACACCCCAGGCCACAGTCTTTCTAGAATGGATACAAGGAGCAAGTAGTGCCATGTGTGTCCCTGTTGACATATTTCAAATCTTATTCTGAGAAACAATCCCTAGAAAAGTGGAAAAGAAATACACAAAGGGAAACTTGTCCTCTATGCATTCAAGACTTAGCTGCTTGTAATATACTAAGGGGGCAATCCTGATGTGTTTACCTGTCTTATTTTGACTGGCGATTTGAATGAATTGCTGCAAATGAAAGATGAGCCCTGTCGTATTGCCAGGCAGGTTTGCATGAAGCCTGTGTTTTGTGAGGAAACGCTTATTATCCTTATTCTTCCATTAAGAAGCTTTGCCTGGCAATTATGTTAGACTTCTCTAACCACTCCATTGCGCTCGTTCCAGAGGTCAAATTCTGTAGGCTGTGGTATGAGTAACTTCTGTGCTTGTGTCTTATGAATGCATAATGTTTTTGCCTTTGCCTCACCTATTTAGTTTGGCAGACAAGATAGATTATTGAGGTTATCTGAAAATCTGAGAAGTCCTTTGAACTGTCCTGGGTGATGGTTTTGCCGTGCACACAGGTAGGAAGGAGTGTATGTGAGGTGGGGGAGTTTGTGTTGTCTGGGGTCACTTGTATAAACTCCTTTATTTTGTTTGTGAGTGTATAAAAGTGCAGAGTCTACAGTGCTGTGCAAATAACTGACTTGCTGAAGTTGCACAGCTGACCAAAGGCATAGCTTTTTGATGTGTTTTAGTGTGTTGGATGCAGCGTGCACAAGTGACACATGCAGACGAGCTTCCCTGGAACCATGTAACAGGGTCCAGGGTGAAATTTGTCTTTCATTTTCCCAGCTCTTGTCTGAGGATTGAGGTCCCTCCTACATGCATTCTTGCTACAAAATGTGAACACAATCGTCTTTCCTGAGCTAAGATTGCGTGGTACTTAGCAATCTAGGATTTCTATCTAGGTGAGATGAGAAAGCTATAGGATTATGAATGTGATCCAGTCATTGGCGCTATACATTGCGAAGGAGTTTGGCTGTGTTCACTTTCCCTTAGAAAGGTATAAATGCTCTACCTGTGGTTTCACCTGTTAGCCAAATGCAGACCTCTGTGCCCTGCTCTTGTCAGGCATGTAAAGG